CCTCCAGTCTGCTGAAATGGAGCAGTTCTGAAGGCTTTGAGTTTGCATTACTGCTGCTGAAAGATTTTCTTTTGTAGATGGAAGACCCTTGTCAAATCACTCTTGGATTTTCTCTTTATTAACTAAATAGTTAAATAGGTTAAGTGCCTTGAATTTTCCACTAAAAGGCAGGCTCTCTAAGCATTTAGCCATTCTTGTTGCTCTTTTGTGAACTACCTTCAATTTATTTGCTTTATCTAAGAATCTTTCTTGAATCTTGGATGCCAAAATTGGACATGGTATTTCATATAGAAGCAATGACACCAGTGTCAGGTGTATAGACTATATAACTTACCCCACTTCTAGTGGATACCCAGATTTTACATCCAATAATTCCATTTACCGTTAATTCGGAGTATTGCACTGGGAGCCCAAAGTCTGCAAGTAATCCTCTATCACTCACAAGTCCTTTTCAGTCAGTGCTTCTCAGGATAGGATCTCCCACCCTGGATGTATTACCTAGATTGTTTGTTACAAGATATATGCATTTACATACATTGCTTTGCCTGTGTGCAAATGAAGGAGTGATGGAGTGATCCAGAAAACTTTCATCAGTATCCTGTCTTTTCCCCACTAATATTTACCACGTCTCAACAATTCTTATATCAGCTGCAAACTTAATCAGTAATTACCCTATTTATTCACATGCCATATGGCTGCAAATAAGACACACACTTGCTTTGGGGCAAAATGAAAATAAAAGATTTTTTCCCCAGAAACTTACCTGTCACAGCAATGGGCTCACTGTGCCTGAATCCTGGTCTCATGAAGCAGGGGCTGTGCCCATTTATCAGTATCACTCACTCTCCCCCCTGCAGCACCCCAGTTTAGCATTCTCACAGCTGCTGCTGAATTGCAACCAGAAACTGAGCACAGTAAAGCCCAATCCCCAGCAGCCTTTCCACCATCCATAGGCTTCCATTCCTCACTCAAGATACATACCCCAATTTTGGATGTCTCCTTTTTTTTTAAAACAATACAGTAGGTATGCAAGTGCACACTATTTGGCTTTCTTCTGGTCTGCTACTAAAAATGTCACATGGTGTGGGATCAAGATTAGATCTTCAGGGATATTTGAGCTGGGTTTCCATACAAGTGTAGCTGCTTGAGGACAATCCCTTACATGCAGTCACATTTTAAGGATTAATCGATCTAAAATGTGCTACCTGGACTTGATATGCTTGTAGTTTCATAATCAAAATGTGGTACAAAATGAAATGCCTTACAGAAGTCTATTTTATCAACACTTACTTTTGCCAGCTACATTTATAAGATCATGTAAAAGATATAAAGTTAGTTTGACATCATCTCCTCATTAAATGCATATCGACTGCCATTAATTATATTAGATTTTAATAATTTATTAATCATGTCCCGTGTCATTCATTCCATTATTTTGCCCATGTTTGAGATTAAGCTGATGAATCTACAATTGTCTGTGTCACTCTGTTTATACATTTAAATATCAGCAAAACATTGTTTTTCTTCCAGTCTTACTAGGGACTGTGTTCCAAGATTTATTGAAAATCTGTGTTACAACCGTAAAAAAATCTGTTACATGGTAATTTTGGGCAGCTTCTGGAGCTCGTAAACCCTGGATAGTCCACACATTAGCACCTTAAAGTGGTTTTGAGCAGTTTGCTACACAGCTCAAAGTTATGCCACTCCAGGATAGGATTATCTCTGATCTGCACTACCCAGCTACTGTTCCATTATGGTGTGGCCACTCCCCACATATGTGCCCCAAAAGGTGAAGTCCTCCAGTATCCCAGGATCTCTCCCACCCTCGCCTGTAGAAGGGATAAAAGACAGTCCTGGCTCATCAGCTCTCTAGTGACAACTCACGGCTACAGCTCCTGGTCTTGTCCCTGCTCACCTGGCTTCTAGTGGCAAGTCACAGCTGTGCAGGTGAGGGCCAGTCAGAGAAGGGTGCTAGACTAAGGGTGTGACTGCACCAAACTCCAAGCTTTTAGTAACATTGGTCAATATTGTGCGGCTCACAGTGTAAAGTGTAACAAGGTCTATGACCCTCCTCATCCAGCTCTTTTAAAATTCTTCAGAGTGGGGTATCTAGACCTAGTGATCCAGTTTTAGTAGTTGAAAAGTTGTTTAACATTCTCCTGAAAAAGGTAATGCAGCATGTGATCAATTGCTTTTTAAGCAAGAGTGTCTTTGCTTTGTGCAAGTTGCTGCTGGGTATGATCAAACTCCCTTTTCAACCTCCAGACCCTCTTGAATTTGTGATTTTCAAAGTTCTAGTCAAATTAGAACATTTATGTGCCAAGGAAGAAGAAAGTAGAGGGAACCATAAGCAACTCATGGAATAGCAAGGCTTAATATGGAGTGGAGAATGAAACAGATTGAAAAGCAAAGTCCATGAGAACATGAGCAATGGAGTAGAAATAGGGGAAAATACATTCTAATGAAAAGAAAATAATACAACATAAGAACATCTGTTAATTTTGACACTAGCTTTGGGTCAGTGTTTTTTGTTCCCTAACACATGCCTCTCCCCCTCTACCCCTTTAGTTTGAGTCATTCTGTTGTTTTAATTAAGTAAAATGTAAAATTTTAGGAAGAAAAAGGCCTTTATAGACTTCTATTCTGTCAATCCAGTGAGAGTTCACAGAACTTTAATTCCAAGAGATCTGTGCATTTCTAGTAACATTATGCTCTTAACAGGTTACACTGGGTTCTGTAATAGTGATGGTTGCATTTCAGTTGGTTATTCCTATACGTTTTATTAATTTTTATTAAATGTTTTGAGATACTTTGGGGTGAAAATGGCTGAATTAATTTAAGAAGTAGTTGTTATTTAACTTATTACTGTAGTGAATTTCAAAAGGGAAATGCTGGATTTGTTTGTTTTTGCTTTTGGCTAAATCCAAACTTGAAATATGGCTTTGACTTTACAGGAGTGCCAAAAAATTGGCATTCAAACTGTTGTAGGACTAACACAGTTTTACAGTGAAGTGAATTAGGACAATTGCAGCAAACTCAAGTTGTCTGCAGCAATTTTTTTCCTTGAAAATATTCCAGGGTAGAACAATGTGAAACAATGACAATATAATTGGCTTTTAATGGGCTGATTTCAAATTTGAAATATTGGTAATCAAGGGTTGAAATGGAAAAGAAAAGAAAAGAAAAGAAAAATATTGGTTCTCTTCCAAGCATTAGCTGAAACCAACGTAATACTAAGATGAGATAATAAAAGGAGTCTCCATTCATGGTAGATTACTTCCATAATATGAACTCCCAGAGGTATAACAAGCTCTTTTGGGGCCAGGGAAGAGGAGGGTGCTAGGGCACAGTCTTACACCCTGGCCTCTGGCAGTGGTTGCTGCTGTGGCGTTGGCTCAGGCTACTGCAGTTGAGGCATGTGCTTCCTGTGCACTATCTGCTGCAGCTCCATGTGTGGGCTTTCTTGGGTCCGCCAGTCTGGCAGCCCCTCAAAATCATTGCCCAGGGCTGGTGCCCTATGTACCTTCCCCCTGCCCCAGCACCTACTGTGGCCATTCTTCTTACTTTATTATTAGATTACTTTCCTGTTACCTTATTGTTTACAGTAGTTTATCTTAGACATATCTGAGGGCTTAGAATTTTGATCACAAAAATACAGCCTCCAAAAAAGTACAGAGTGTTTTTGAGGAACGAAGGTGATTTTTCAAAAGGTGTTAGATAAATCATCCTTACTGCTTAGCCTTCCCTTGATAGTACCTTCTATTCCAAAAACACATTTTGTAGCACAACGTAAGTCTTGACATTCAGGGATAAATGCAGTGATAGTTTCTAATACATCTCAATGTAGTAAAAAGAGGAAGAAACCAATTTCTCACTACCGAATACATAGACTATATTACTTGGAGTCAACTTATTATTTTCTTCTGAGAACATTATATAAAAGCAAAATCAAGGACAATTGCCTTATTGATAAGGCTGTTTACTATGTAACTTGTGTCCATTGGGATTGGTATGAATCATTTATAGAATCTTAAAAAGTATTTCACAATAGTGAAGATTTACTGTAGGGTTCAGCCAGTCAGATCAGATCTACATTCAGTTGGACACAGCCAACTAAATTAAAAATCATGGTTATTAGAAGGGAACTTCTCTGCAGCTTGTGAATTATAATTTTCTCTCTATAAAATGCATATAGCTATACATATATCAATTTGGTAAGCTGTCTTGTCAGATAGACATACTTACATAAACACAGATCTTCGAGGATATGATTTGTCTTTTATGTTTAACCCAATAGATTATTCTGCAACCTCTTTTTTAGTTACTGTTTTGCACTGAATATTATGCTTATACAAAATATTAGGTTCACATTGAGAAAATGAAATCCTTTATCCACAGGAATGTTAGTGATACTTTCTTTTCTGCTACTGTTATTGCTCTTACATGTTATGTTTTGAATGTTAGTGTAATCAATAACCTGCTTTCCCGTATAGGTACTGTTGTGGCAAACACTTTGCAAACATGTAGTGAGACATATGTTTTCAGAAGAGACTGAATGCTGTTTTAATTTAAATAAAACTAACTGTTGCATCTGTGAGTGGCAGTTATGCTACAATAAGTACTTTCTTGCTACTTTGTTTGTAACAGTTTGTCAAGCAGAACCACTGACTCAACACTTGCAGAGGTGGTTAGTTGTTCCAGAGCTATGCAACATCTGTTCTGCCAGGAAATGCTCAAGGCTCTGATGATTGAAATCATTATTACATACCATAGAGATGGTTTTGCTCTTTTGTTAAAATCTCAAAATGAGCCTAGTAATCCCATCACACATATAATTTAAAATAAGAGGAATGATCTTTTTCTATTACTTGTATATTTTCTCTTAACTATTGAAAAGGCTCCTAACATTCCCAGATAGTTTGTTAGTGAAACAAGTATTTTGTTATTTTACCTGCAAAGCATGGCCTTCCTCTAACCTGATTTTATTTTATTTTTTTCAGGTTTTGTGGATTTAACACTCCATGATCAGGTCCATCTACTGGAATGTGCCTGGTTAGAGATACTCATGATTGGCTTAGTCTGGCGTTCAATGGAACATCCAGGAAAGCTCTTATTTGCACCTAATCTATTACTAGACAGGTTAGTTTGATTATTAGTAGTATTATTTAAATCAGGGCTGTTCAACTTTTGAGCAGCTGTGGGTTGCCCCTACCCCCATTGTCACCTCCCCTGTGGTGTGCCTTGTCCCTTGAGGGCAAGAATAAAAAAAGGAAGCTGGAGCAGTGTGACAGGGGGAGGTGGGGAGCCTGGAGACCCCAGTGGCCTGAAGGGGGGGAGGAGACAACAGCAGCAGCAGGTGGGAAGGGTGCAGACCGGGGTGGAGTTGTGCCCAGGGGGGAATTTCAGAGAGCCAAAGAGGTAGAAGTGGGCTGGAGCCTGCAGGCTGTAAGTTACCACTCAAGTGCTTTTTGCAACCTGTAGGCTGCCAGTTGGACAGACCAGATTTAAATTAATGTATGTTTCCTATCACTACTGTCATTTTAGTTTTCAGACATCATATCACATGCCATAAATGCAGCAAGACTGCCTTAGTTAATATGATAAGGTGGATTTTGGTTTTTCCTACCATACAGAGTTTGGCTGCCATGTCTTTTTTGGCTAATGGAATGAAAAAATCATCATGTAATTGATGTAACTAATCTGGCAAAACCCTTGGGTCTGAATGCAAGTGTGCCAATGAAAGAAGGCTTCTAATGAGTTGGTTTATGTAATTAGGGGAAATGGAATTAGCAGAGGGGCCCCATCTGCCAGCATGGCATATGTCTCCACTAGGATCTCTCTGCCAGCATGGCTATGGTGCACTGCTAGAGCAGGAGAGACTTGATAATGTAGACAAGCCCTTCTGAAGAAGAATAGAGGTGGCACAGGAAGTGGGGCTGCTGATTCAATAGGTAGCACTCTTTCCTGGGAGATACTGTGCTGCTACAAGGTGCTCTGCTGCTGGCTATGTTTTCATTCAAGGGGAGATGGAAAGCTGAGGTACTTCCTTTTTATAGTAGGAAAAAACCTCATTGATATTTTTGCAAGAGTAGGGGCATTAACTCAAGTCCTAACCACATTCTATTTTAGCTAAGTATTTCTACCTACCTAAAATCCTCCCGTATGTTTTCAATTTGGAGTAGTTGAATCAAGCAGCCAGTCAGATCTGTGGGTCACTTGTGGCAGAATATTTCTTGGATAAAGTCTTATTTATTTACACAGAATTTACAACATCCCATTTTCCTGAACACAGAAGATATCAAGCAACAAGCAGTTTCTTTGCTTGTGGCACAAAACTGTTTTCACCTGGCACCCCCTTGGAAGGAGGGGGAGAAGTGGTGGGTTGGGAACTGTCTCTAGGTGTTTCTTAGAGCTGTGCCATCAGCTGGGTTTTTTTCCAGGCAATCTCACATTCTTACAAGTCTCTGTCTCTCTCTGGGTCCTTCTGCTTGTTTCTTTATTTCCTAGACTGCAGATAGGCCAAACAATTATACTGTTATAAAGGGAGGGGAGGAGTTACTGTTCATAAGGTTCCATCAGCTAATCCCTGGTAATTTTTTTCCTACCTGCTCCTACCCAACAGAAGGCAGGGAAGGGTGGTGCCTTAGGATGGCTGTACACAAGCATGGAGCCTGCTCAAATGTGCTGTAATTACAGTGCATCAGAACAGACTTGATTAATCAGGTCTGCTTGGGAGACCTCAGTAGGGTTGGGAGGGACCTCAAGAGGTCACGCAGTCCAGCCTCCTGCTCAAATCCTTGACTAAACTGTCTTAGTCAAGTGCTTATCTAACCTGCTCTGAAAAACATCCAAGGATGGAGATGGACCGAAGACAGACCCCTCAAAAAGCCCAAGCCTGAATTGATTTAATCCTTGTAGCTAGTCTAACCTGCATAGATTGAACTGATTTGCAAGTGATTAGACATTCACTTTTGATTCTGGAAATGCAGTGGCTCAGACTAGAAGCTTGGGGTGCTAGAACAAGCCCTCCCTTCTGTTCAGCAGCAGCCACAAGGCTGAAGGGAAGCTGAGCTTGGTGGGCAAGGGGTGGCCAGACCCTGGCAGGCCACTGAGTATGATTGGGGAGGGTTTTAAACCCCCACCTTGCATGCAGGGACCACAGCCAGGGTGCACCTGGAGGGGGAAGGTGGAAGTAGCCCTTTGTCAGGCTTGCCTCCAAGACGGGGGGCATAGCCAGACACCAGCCACAGCAGCGCCTCTGGAAAAGCAGGGGCAGGGAGGGGGATTAAACTCCCCTGTTTCTCCTCTCTCCCACGGGCACAGGGATCCCAGCCAGAGTGCTTGGCTTTCTGCCCTGCTGGTCACTTCCACAGGAGGGGGCGTGGCCATAGCTGGCCAGCACAACCCCACCATCCACCTGCCTTGCCCAGTACTAGGCCTGGGCCACAGGGGCAGGGCATTTCCTAGCCAACTATGGCTCAAGCTGAGGCTGCAGGAGCTGTAAGCCTAGATTGCTCCTGGTTCCCATGCCCAGGCTGGGCTGGGCTGTCATGGAACTGCAGCCAGCTGGGAAGGGCCCTGCCTCCACAACCCAGCCTGGCCTCTCAGCAGTGTCCACAGACCTTCCCAGCTGGCTGTGGCTCTGTGACAGCCCGGCCCAGTGTGCATGGGCAGCAGGTGAAGTCCGTTGTGCCTTTGGCTGCTTGAGCCAACTTGGAGTTGCCTGGCAGCTGCCCACCATGCGGGCTTGTGTGCCCACAGGCACTGCTGCTGTGCTCCCTACATGGTGCTTGCTCAGCTACAGACAGATAAGCAAGCACTGTGCTGGGGGCATGGTGACAGCTGTTGGCACATGAGCCCCTATGGCAGGTGGCTGCCAGGCTTTGGGCCTGCCAGTGCCTCCAAGCCAGCCTGGGCAGCTGTGGGCATAATGCACTCATCCTGCCTGGCCAGTCTGGCTGTCAGGACACCCATCCACAGCTGCAGCAGTGTCACCTCTGTGCCACTGCCTGGCCAGCCCTGCTCATGCATGCCAGGCTGATCTGTCATGGAGCTGCAGCTGGCTGGGGAGAGCTTCCAAAAGGAAGTACTATAGCAATGTTGCTGTACAGCAAAGTATAAACACACCCTAACAATCTCAGCAGGCTAGTATCTTGTAGAGAACTGTTAGCTCCTTCTCCCCTAGCCATGAACTGCCACTGTGTCTGAGCAATCCCCTGCTTGTAACAACTGCCCAGTGCTCACCTCAGAGGTATGCAAAGTTGTATGGCCCTGTGCCAGGTGGGACAGGGAAGGAGACTGTGTTGCTAGAAAGGAGTTGCAGATGGGGCAGTGGGGCCAGCGGGAGTCAGGTTAGGGGGAGGGTTGGGAGGGAAAGCATGATGTTGGGTATAGTTTGGGGTGTCAGGGTGTGGGATGAGTAGGTGACCCTTAGGGTGGGGGCATGACAGTGTAAAATCATTGCTGCAGACCTCACAATCTCTTATTTAGGGCCCCAATATGATTAAGGCTGGAAAACATTACAATTTTGTTTAATAAGAGTGTTGCCCTCAACAGTAAGCTCTGAAATGCCACATGGAATGATAAGCTGTATTTTCAAATGTAGTTAACTCTACTTTTGGGAAGGAGAAAGAGCATATTAGGATTTTAGAGGATTTTTTCTTTATTCTTTCTTGACAAAGAATTATTACATTTTTTTAATTCATCATTTCCAGGGTTGCAAACCCAGTTTTTTTTTACTGAGAATCCGCCTATTTTATAATGACAACCTAACTTTTTTCCTATGGTTGGTGTTACACCCCTAAATTTGAGCCCAACCCTCCTAACTGCCATGATGTCTGGAAGAAGGGTTACATTTACATGATGTAAAACATAGCTCAGTAAAAACGTGTCAGTAAAACAGTTTGGTTGTCAGTAAAAAGCTTGCAGCTTGTCAGTAAAAAAAAAATCTTGGGGTGGGAACCCTGTTGAATTCTCCCATGAGAACCCAGCCATGCAACTTGGGAACTTTGCTTAGTTGTTTAAAGAAAGCCTTATCCACATCTTCATCCTGGTTTGGTGCTCTGTAGCAGGCACCCACCACGATAACATATTTCCTGTTCTCTCCTCTGACCTTCCCTGATTGTACTAGGAATCCTAATTAATGCTTATTCCCTTTGCCTCTTGCATTAGTGTATAAATATTTTAGATAAATAATCAAATGCCCTCATTTTTTCTGAAATCATTGTTAAGACTTCATGTATTTCTTCCTCTTACCTGGTTTTTATTCAGATCCTCTGGCTCTGCTTTTGGACTTTTTTACCAGTTTAAAGTCCTTCTGAATACAAGCTTGCATGCAAAAATACTCTTTCCCTCTTTGTCTATCTGTCCCCATCTCTTCTCATTAGTCTTTCTTCCTGGAAGATCACCCAGTAGACAAAGAAGCCAAATTCTTGCTGGTGATACCATCTGCACAGCCATGTGTTGATCTCCATGATGTATGTGCTCGTGCCTGGGCCTTTACCCTTGACAGTAAAGGTTGATGGGAACACAGCTGAGCCCCTGTTCACTTTACCAATGCACACAGAAACCCTTTGTTACTTTTCATTTAATTTTTTAATCTTTGTTTTGCTTTTAGTGTTAAAATGTTGTGTAGTACTTTTGTGTCCAGCTAAATAGTTGGCAGTTCCACCTCAGAAATGGCTAATTTTCAACTCTTAAAAAATACTATCCAAGACTGTAATATCCAAGATTGTGTCCATGCTTTTCTAGTCTGGTGGTAGGAATTTCTGGTGGTACTTAGCACCCAGCATTACCAAGTCTTATGGCAGCTGCCTGGAGGCATGACCTAGCACTGATAGAAAACTTAAGCTTTTTTGCAGAGGTGCTGTCAAAGTGGAGGATTTGCCACTTTGGAATGGCTTTGATTTTCATAGATATAATAATTCATAGAAAAGTAGGGCTGGAAGGGACCTCCAGAGGTCTTTCAACCCCCTACTTGAGGCAGAATAATTGCTATCCCAAACCATCCCATACAAATCCCCATCTAACCTATTACTAAAACTACACAATCAACCCATGTTGCAGCAGCAAAGCATAGCCCCCTGAGCCCAGTCAGAGCAGCCCTGGGCTGGCAGGCTGACCCATGGTGCCCCCTGCCA